ATATCGAGTATAACTTCATCCAAAGTGCTGTAAAATAACATAATATATTAGTGTGAGTAGTGTGACCAGATAATATAACAGTGTGACTAGTGTGACCAAATAATATAACAGTGTGACTAGTGTGACCAATGTAAATTTTTAATTGTGTGACCAGTGTGACCATCGGGATATACCCAAGGGAGTAATAAACCCTTCATAACTTCCTATATCCCTCCCTTCACCACCGATATGTGTTTTTCCTGCAAAGTATTTCTCAAGACCAAGTAATTCTTGTTTATTTCCTTGGACCCACCATTTGAGAAATTCACCAAAACTTGTATCACCAAACATATACTTCTTTATTGTTTGAATGTCTTCCTTGGTCAGGCGATTCCGAATATCGAGTATAACTTCATCCAAGTGCTGTAAAATAACATAATATATTAGTATAAGTAGTGTGACCAGATAATATAACAGTGTGACTAGTGTGACCAGATAATATAACAGTGTGACTAGTGTGACCAATCTAAATTTTTAATTGTGTGACCAGTGTGACCATCGGGATATACCCAAGGGAGTAATAAACCCTTCATAACTTCCTATATCCCTCCCTTCACCATCGATAGGTGTTTTTCCTGCAAAGTATTTCTCAAGACCAAGTAATTCTTGTTGATTTCCATGGACCCACCATTTGAGAAATTCACCAAAACTCGTATCACCAAGCATATACTTCTTTGTTGTTTGAATGCGTTCCTTGGTCAAGCGATTCCGAATATCGAGTATAACTTCATCCAAGTGCTGTAAAATAACATAATATATTAGTGTGAGTAGTGTGACCAGATAATATAACAGTGTGACTAGTGTGACCAGATAATATAACAGTGTGACTAGTGTGACCAATGTAAAATTTTAATTGTGTAACTAGTGTGACCAGTGTGACTAGTGTGACCAGTGTGACCAATATAAATTTTTAATTGTATGACCAGCGTGACTAGTGTGACCAGCTAATACAACAGTGTGACTAGTGTGATCAGATAATATAACAATGGAACTACTGTGACCAATGTAAATTTTTAACTGTGTGACCAGTGTGACTAGCTAATACAACAATGTGACTAATGTGACCAGATAATATAACAGTGTGACTAGTGAAAAAGAAATGCACTTATTCCATCTTTGAGCCACACTCTCTCCTGTACAAGATCTTCCTAGAACCTTGGTTTTCTCATATAATCGAGTTCTGAGTCGTGGTGTTGGATCACCAACGATCCAAAGTCACCGAACCCCTGATCCTCTTCAGTTGGATCAACGTTTCACTGGCCAGGGTACTCCCCAGGCTTTATTTGAGGCCAACAGTTCCGCCCATTGCTCTATTTATGTTGGGATCTCCCTTAGAGAGATCCTGGCATCAGAGAGTCGGCGACGACAACCTTGTGTCAATCCTAATCCGACTTATGGAGCGTTGTGGTAAGTATATTCTAACACCACTTTCGTTTACGATAAAATCAACTGTCGTTCAACTTAATTAATGTTTTTGAATATCATAGGTTTGATCGGAATGATCAATTAGTTGAGAGTATCAAAACGATCATGCGTTCTGATTTTCATAGCCCGTGGCGTAGCATCTCCTGACTCCCGCAAGAAGTCTTGGAGCGATGGTTTGTTGTTTTTGCGGTATTGTCTTAACTTGTTTGTTTTTTGTTTAATATGTCATTAGTATTAAATAACTAACACATTTTGTTTAAAGCAATCTTATTACTGGGATCCTTCTGTGCATGATGTCGTCCATCGTGTGTGGAAGGATTGTCTCAATGCGAGATTGCGAGATAACATTTATAGGTTGAAATGTTTGCGGAAGAAGCCTGAGTGGGTTAGTTCAGACGTCTGGGTGCAGTTGGAGGAAATGTGGGATTTAGATGAATCTCAAAAGAAGAGTCGGATCGCGTCGACGAACCGAAAGGCGAAGTCTGTTTCTGACCGTGCCCCAGGAACTCACACTGCGGGAAGAAAATCGTTTGCTAAAGTTGCTCTCAATATTGTAAGTATTTTGGGAGAATTGTTTTATTTGTTTTTTAATTTTACTAATTTTTTGGTATAACATTTGTAGGCCGAGAAAGAAGGTGTTCAACCGTCTGCTCTGCGTGTCTTACAAGACACGCATCGTCGATCAGATGGGACGTACGTAGATCATCGTGCCCAAGAAATTGAAGAGACCATTCAATCGAAGATTACCGATCGAATGACGATGGACGAGAGCAACAGTTCAATGCAATTGACTTCGCAGGAAATCAACAGCTTGTATCTCGAGGTAATTTTTTATTTAAAATAATATAATCTGTTAAAGTATAAATACTGTACATATTGTTTTGAAGGTTGTTCCTCCCGATGCGAAAGGTCGGATTTACGGGATTGGTGCACTGGCGAGTCAGCTCAGTGGTGGTGACGCATCTTCGTCGTCAGTAGTACACCATGTATCCCTGACGCGTGAAGTCAAGGAGTTGAAGAGAAAACATGAGGAGACTTTTGCGGAACTTGTAGCCGCTCAGGAGAAGATCGCTCAGTTTGATGCAGCTCAGGCGAAGATCGCTCGTTAGAGGAGATGATACAACACTATTATGCCTCAGATCGATTCTGCCGGTTCGTCTGCTCCGAGTCCCGCCGTCAATCCCGATCCATCGGTCCATCAAAACGTGCAACATCCGCAACATCTCGATGATTTTCCGGATAATTTATTTCATTAAATTTCGGTTTTGTAATATATAAAACAATTTCGGTTTTGTAATATATAAAACAATTTCGGTTTTATTTTTAATAATATTATTGTATAATTATTTTTTTAAACGAAATTTTATTTTTTTCGAAAAAATAAACAATGCGACGGAAATATCCGTCGCATACCGTAGCAATCCAAAACATTCTACGGAAACATTCCGTCGTTTTAACGTCGCTAAAACTAACCGACGGAAAAATCCGTCGTCAAACTTTCCGTCGTTTTACCGTCGCTAATATTATACCGACGGACAAATCCGTTGTAAATTTTCCGTCGCTACTTTGCGACTAATCTCCGACCAATCCTCCCGTCCCTTTTTGCGACCAGTGTGCGATGGATGATCCGTCACATATTACGATGGAAAAATCACTCAAATGACCCACTTGGGTCGCACCTATTTCAGCGTACACCACCAACAAAAACAAATTTTTTTTTTCAATTTTAACCCACTTTTCAGTTGAAAAAGTCCGAAATACCCTTTTCTTTTTATTTTTTGCGACCTTATTACGACTAACATATAACTGATATACAACTAAAATAAGACAGATGTTTTTTTGCCACCTTTTTTAGAATCAATTGTAACTTTTTTGCCACCTTTTTTAGAATTAACTACGAAGTCGTAATAACGAAGTTGTTTTCGAACGGATAAATATCGTATATTCATTAAGGGTAATTTCGTCTTTTCAAAAAAAATTAATGTGTTATGTTTTTTGTGGTGTACACGTGAAATAGCTGCGACCCAAGTGGGTCATTTGAGTAAAAATCCCTATTACGATGGCGTTACGACGGATATTCCGTCGGTAATAGCAACGACTATACGAAGGAACGTTCGTCGCGTTTACCATGGAAAAACGACGGAGTTTCCGTCGATCATATCGACTACATTGCGACGGATAGACCGTCGCATTCACCGGCGGATTATTCTGTCGCGATAAATGACTGGTGTACGACGAGATTTCTCTGTCGCAATTATGCGACGGATGTCCGACCAGAATATGTTTGCGATAGCCATTTACGGATGGAAAGTGTTCCGTCGGTTTCCGTCGCAAACCGAGTATACCGACGAAAATTCTTTTTTATGGCGACAGAATTTTCCGTCGGAAATATGAGTGTTTTTTTTGTAGTGGTTGCATTGTTAGTGGATGTTTGGACAAAACTCTCTACCCGAAGCACGTTATCTGAAACTACGGTGAGTTTCCATATAAATACAGGATATCGCTTCTTGGCATTTGATGCTATTTGTTTATTTTGATTCACCTCTCCCACGGTGAATTTTCTAGCATTTTCCACTTCTTCTTCTTTTTTAACTTGTTTTGTTTTTTGTTTTTTTTCTTGGTTCTTCTTCTTCTTTATCATAGTCTTCTATCAAAATTATCTCCATTTCTTTGTTTTTTTCTGCATTTTCGTCTGATTTACAATCGGCGGATGAAGTCTTTCTTTGATTTTTTATTCGATGGTAAACTTATTTTTGTTTGATTTATGATAATCAGAAAGTTGAGAATTAATAATAGAAAGAATTGTTGGGAAAGACGAAATAAAGATTAAGAGAAGAGAGAGAAACTTTTGAATTTTGTTTTAAAAATAATTAAATTAATAGAAAAGTGTAGAACATGGAAAAAGTAATTGTCTTTCCTTCTTCTTGTACCACGTGTCCTTTTTAATAAGATCATTCATGTTTTTTGCTCGTTTTAATTTTTTTTTTGAAATTTTAGAGTTTTAGAGGGTATATCATAAAGTCTTTGCAGTAAAGGGAGGGTAGTTTTGCTATTTTGTCAGCTGACACAGACCCGAATCATTATTTATACTTACCTTTATCTTTAATCACCTCATTATTTCAATAAGAAGAGTGATTTTTTAATGCATATAAATCAAGGTTTTTCATGCACAACTATAAAAAATAAAAAAAATATCACTGAAACAGTTTGTGGATTGAGATTTTAATAGACTATTAATAATATAAATTTTCTGAAAAATTAATAATTGAAAAAAGATTTGAATACATAACGATAAGTATATAACAGTATTAGACATAAAAATTTCACTTGTTGTATATAAATTTTTAAAATTAATTATTGTTGTAGAATTATATATAAATCGAATTGTAATAAATTTTAAATTAATATAAAAACTAAAAAGATTTAATTTTTATAAAAAAAAAAAACTAAAAATATAAATCGGAAACGTTAACATCTAACCGAATTCAGTCCATCTCTCTTAGAGCCACGATGTCGTAGTCACAACATAATCTATATAAACAGGTCCTTTGTGCGAGCTTCCATGTATGCTTCTCCGACCGACCCTTCTGGATTTGGCTGGAAAAGTCTTTGCTTTTCCTTCTCCTTCTCCTTCAAGATCGCGAATTCTTTCCCGGGTCTCATTCTTTTCTCACCTGGGAAAATCCCAATTCTCTTCTTCTTCTGGCGATCCAACCAGTCCCACACGCATGACGATCGGGACGTCGACGCCTGTTGTTGTGGAAGATCACCTCCTGGTGAGGGGTCGGTCGGTGTTGACCGGAGTTCCGGCGAATGTCACCATTTATCCGGCGAGTTCTGGCTCTGCTTTTCTTGGCGCGACGGCGAAGGAGCCGAGCTCGCGCCATGTTTTCACTCTCGGAATTCTCGAGTGAGCTTCTTTTTTCCTCAGTACTTCCTCTGTTTTATGCTATGTTTGGGTTGATTGTTTAATGTTTGTCAAAATGCGTGAACGAAAGAATTTTGATGCGCTGTGTATTTCGCCTTCTGGGTTTAGCCTGATAGAATGGTATTTGAGAATATTGTAGAAATCATTACTGAATGTTGATATTATAGAAAAGGAACAATGTTTCTACATACAAAATTAGAGCTTAAAACTGGTGAAATAGAATGATCATATGATAGTGGAAGATTATAGTGATATGGAGAGGATGGGAGAGTTTACCATTAACCAAAAAAAATGTTTACAGATACAGAGAAAATATCCTAATATATATATATACTGAGTTTTGCTTTGAGGGTTCCCGGTGAAAGCAGTTGTGATTTCTGTGATTGGTAGATGACGAATTTACACAATGGTGGTTTGTTGGTCAAAATCTTGGGAACTTTTGAATATACAGTTATTTTTCATGTTGATTATGCAGTGGGGGATACCGGTCCTTGGCCCTCTTCAGGTTCAAGATTTGGTGGATGATACCTCGTTGGGTAAGATGCGGTGGCGAAATCCCAATGGAGACTCAGATGCTTCTTTTAGAAGCGAGGGATGATTCTATTCCCGATAACGGGGTTTCATCCGGTTCGAGTAATGATGACACATTCTATGTTCTGTTGCTACCGGTCCTAGAGGGGACTTTCAGGGCATCTTTGCAAGGAACTCCAAGAAATGAGCTTCAGTTTTGCATTGAGAGTGGTTAGATTCCGGTTTCTGTGGTTCTCTTACGATGGAGGCTTTTTGTTGAACTGATGTAACTCCTATGTCTCAGAGAATTTCGATGGTTGAATTCTTCAGGAGATGCTAATATTCAGACATCTGTGTCCCTTGAAGCCGTGTTTGTCCACTCGGGAGATAATCCATTTCAGCTCATCAAGGATTCTGTCAAGTATGTAGCATATCTTAGTGATTGGATTGGCATCTATGGACGGGATCAAGAATCAATTTTGCCATTTTATTCATCGACTGATCAATGTGGTCATTGCTTTGCCCTGGCAGGATATTGGAGAAGCATAAGGGAACCTTTAGTCACGTTGATAACAAGAAGGTAACACAGTAAATCCCTTTCTCATTACATGCTTGAGGTTAAAATCTTGTATGGATTGCCTTATTTGACACATGCTCTGGTGACAAAGCTTCCATCGCATTTGGACTGGTTTGGTTGGTGCACATGGGATGCTTTCTATAAAGAGGTCAATCCCAAAGGAATTAGGGAAGGCCTCGAAAGGTATAACAGATATGCTTGTGATAAAGACTCGGTTTTTAAACTTGTTTTGTTCCCCTTTATCTGTTCTTCTTCCGTAGTTTTGCTCAAGGAGGTTGTTCCCCAAAATTCTTAATCATTGACGACGGATGGCAAGATACAGTGAATGACTTCCAAAAGGAAGGTGAACCTTTAATTCCCGGAACAGAGTAAGCCTCTAAAGTTTAGTACTCTTTGTTGCTCTGACATATTATAACTTCTCCTTTATACTCTCTTTTGCCTTGTAGATTTGCTTCGAGGCTTGTAGATATCAAAGAAAACAGTAACTTTAAGAGTCCCAGTTCCACTGACAGTAGGGCTGATCTCGGCGAGCTTGTGCACAGCATTAAAGACAAATATGGAGTGAAGTAAGCTTTTACAATACGAGCTTTCTTAACCGAGTTTGAACGTTTTATGGCATGTCATATGTTGTAAAACTTTGGATGATGTAGGTTTGTTTACATGTGGCATGCTCTGGCCGGATACTGGGGAGGGGTCCATCCATCATCCGAGAATATGAAAAAATATGATCCGAAACTCGCTTACCCAATTCAGTCTCCTGGTAATGTAGGAAACCTTAGAGACATTGCAATGGACAGCTTGGAGAAATATGGAGTAGGGATTGTTGACCCGAACAAAGTATACGACTTCTACAATGATCTTCATAGCTATTTGGCAAGCATCGGAGTGGATGGAGTTAAAGTAGATGTTCAGAATGTTTTGGAAACCTTGGGTACCGGTTATGGGGGACGGGTTTCGTTGACAAGGAAATATCAAGAAGCACTCGAGCAATCTGTGGGGAGGAACTTCAATGCAAATAACCTTATTTGCTGCATGAGTCACAATTCAGACTCCATTTTTAGGTTTTTTCTTTGTCCCTCTAAATGCAATCAAATACTGTTACTATATGTTTTTGGAATAACCCGAAACTAGAAGCCCTTATTCACTGAGTTATGTGCTGTTAGTTCAAAGAAGAGTGCAGTGGCAAGAGCATCAGAAGATTTCATGCCAAGAGAGCCAAAACTGCAGACTTTACACATAGCTTCAGTTTCTTTCAACAGTCTTCTCCTCGGGGAAATCGTTGTCTCTGATTGGGACATGTTCCATGTGAGACCCGCGATTTATCGTTTCAATCCAACTTCGTTCTCATGGATTGCTGTTTACCCAAGAAAATCTTTAATGGTTAAACAAAATGTTTACTTCCATTGTCAGAGTAAGCATGAAACTGCCAAGTTCCATGGCGCCGCAAGGGCTGTGGGCGGTTGCGCTGTTTACGTGAGGTAAGCTTTCCTTTTTTGCTTTTATGATCATCAGGGTATATAATAAATCTGGTCTTAACAGTGACAATGTCATAACAGTGACAAGCCGGGAAATCAAGATTTTGAAATCCTGAAAAAGCTTGTCTTACCTGATGGTTCAATCTTAAGAGCCAGGCATTCTGGTCGTCCAACACGGGATTGCCTTTTCACCGACCCTGTAATGGATGGAAGAAGGTATATATGTATACCCCGAAACAGTTTACGGCTGAGAAAGAAAGCCAGAAACTTTTTTACATGTCAAAGAGTCACCTTATCGCGGGATGTCTTTTTTTGTTTGTTTGTTACTTTGTAGTTTCCTCAAGATATGGAACTTGAACAATGCCACTGGAATCCTCGGAGTTTTTAACTGCCAAGGAGCGGGGTCATGGCCGCTGAAGCAAACAGATGAAAATGCCACCGGGCCTTGTGAGAGTGTACTGCTTTCCGGATATGTAAGACCTGATGACATAGAGTTTCTTGAAGAAATCGCCGGAGAAAACTGGAACGGGAATTCGATCATATACACGTTCTTTTCAGGTCAGACTCTGCCCCTTTTTTCTTGGTTACATGTGCAGTTTTTGGTTCAGAACATGGAACCATTGTTCATGAATTCGGTTCATTCCCTCAGGATCCTTATCGATCTTGCCTAGGGATGGAAACCTCAAGGTCTCATTGACTACCCTTGGCTGCGAGATTTTCACCGTTTCACCCATCAGAGTATGCTATTCTTCATCAGTTTCGAGAACTCGTTCCTTCTTTCGACTTTCTGTATCATTTTTCGCAGTAGAAGGTGAGTTTAAGCTGCTGTCACGGCAGGTTTTTGGCCCGGATTTCCACTTCGCCCTGATAGGATTGCTCGACATGTACAACTCGGGCGGTGCAGTGGATGGATTAGACGCCTCGATGGAAAGTTCAGGGAGCAAAGTGAGAGTGAAAGCACGCGGGTGCGGCCGCTTTGGAGTCTACTCCAACAAAAGGCCGAAACTTTGCATGTTGGAAAGGAAGGAAATCGAGTTTTCATATGATTCAGACAGCGGGTTAGTTAAGCTGGAACTCGAACAAGACTGCGGTCTCAAAACGATCGAGTTCGTGTACTAAACTGGAACGAGTTTGATTCAGATTGGAGGAAAGGGGTTGTGATTGTGTTCTTGAATCGTTCAGGAGTGCGAATTCCTTCTTCTGAACGATTCATTGCAGCAACTTCCATTGATTTTGGATTTTGGAAGCAGTGAACAATAAAGGAGGGATTATGAGACAGACAAAAAGGGAAGTGATTTTCCGAGTGTGTATTGTAATTCGGTGTAATTCACTTGCCATTGCAATTTCTCCAAGCAGAGTGACAGTTCCTGTCAAATTAACTTTCCATTGAATTAAATCCTATCAAAAAATAAATATTTAAATCGGAATCTAGTATAAAAACAGTCAAGTAAATTGAGAATAATATCTCGTAATCCAAATCCGAAACCATTTGAATAAAAAAAATGAAATCTGTTGTAGATTTTGCATTTAGAATTTATATTAAAAATCTAAACATTTCGCATCTAGGCATAATTCGTTTATAAATTTTAATTTTGCTTAATTTAAATTAAATTGTAATAAATAATATATCAAATGTTAGGTATAACCGGTATAATATTCATAAACTTATAGTTTCATTGTTTAAAAATAAATTATGGTTTTTATTTCGATCTCTTAAATTATTTTATGAAAAACATCTAAAAATCATAATTTTTCAAGAATATTCAATTAAAATTATAAATCTAAATAAATTGTTTTATTTTACAAATACATTAAATATTATATTTATTTTCACAGCAAAATAATACGAGATGATCAGACTTATTGTGCCAACTATTGACCTATCTATTTAAAATTGTAATTAAAAATATTTTTTAAAATAGAAAATTATATATTTTTATACATTTTAAAAGATATTTATTTAGATAATAAAGATTGTAATTTACTAATTTAATATATTTTAAAATTAAAATTTTAAATATATTTTTAAACATGTTTTTTTTCCCTTCCAAAGCCCATGGCCTCAACCAAAGATATTTCCTCTCCTTTGTAATATCAAATAGTTCTCTCTCGCCCTCTCTGCTTCCTTATCCCTTTTCCCACTCCTAAAACCCTCCCTTCCTCTTCATTTCTATCGCTACAACAATGTCTTCTTCAATACTAACCTCGAGCTTCAAGCCCCTTCCAATAGCTGATTCTTCTTCCTCCTCTACCCTTCTCTCCCTCCCTTCCATCTTCGCCAGACCCAGATACTCGAATTTCTCAATCCCCGCCAGACCCGTCAAACTTCACCTCCCTCTCTCCCACCCTTCGCTCTCTCTTAGCCACAAAACCCACCCTAAAAGCATCTCTCGTCTCGTTTCCTTCGTCGCTCAGACTTCGGATTGGGCTCAGCAAGACGAGGAAGAAGGAGAGGACGGGAACATCATCGGCGCCTCCGTTGCCGTGGAGGAGAACGAGGCCGAGGCGAAGTTCTGGGATGGGGAAGGGGATGCGAGTGGGGCTGAAGAAGACGGCGGCGGTGTAACGGAGGAGGAAGAAGAAGGCGGCGGAGAGACAGAGGAGGAGTTCCCGGAGCCGCCGGAGGAGGCGAAGCTGTTCGTTGGGAACTTGCCGTATGACGTCGACAGCCAGGGCTTGGCTATGCTCTTCGAGCAAGCTGGTACTGTGGAGATTGCTGAGGTGATTGCCTTGAAATAAGAATATCTCAGTTTGTTGTTTCAGTGTGGTTGTATAATTGGCTCATGTGCTTATTGATAGGTTATAAGAACCAGTTTTGGTGAATGGATGAGAAAAATGGAAGCTTTAGCTTCTGGTTCTCATGGGCACGTTAAATTCTTGAGGACTTTTTTTGTGTTCCATTGACCAGAATTGTGTGCTTTGAGTTCATGTCTTTCAAATCAGATGTTTTATGGGAAGAAAACAAAAGGGTGTAATATTGTTCGATTGTTTTAGATCATATTTTATGTTTCTGAATTCTTTTTATCAGCTCAAAAGTTACTGATGTATGTTGTGTATACATTTGGTGATTCTTGCTTTGAATCTTGGGTTGCAGGTTATATACAATAGAGACACGGACCAGAGCCGCGGGTTTGGTTTTGTAACCATGAGTACCGTGGAAGAGGCCGAGAAAGCTGTGGAGAAGTTCCATCGTTATGTAAGTGATCCTTCATTCCTGTTATTGCTCAAGTGCGGTTGGTTTGTCCCATAAGCTAAAGTTATATAGTTTAGATCTCATTCACATGAAGATGCCCTCTTTCCAACTTTAAATGGGCATTCTCTTATGATCGTGTTACTTATTATTTCATATGGTTTTCTCTCTTGAGTTGCATTCTTTTTATGGCCAACCAAAAGGGTTCACCTCTCTGGTACAAGAAAGAGTTTGTTGGTGTTCGGGCCACCGATCTCTCTCATTTTCTTGTAGAATTTATGCAAACACTCTTGTTTTGGATGTAGACTCTGTTCTTCTGCTGTAAACAGCTTAACTGCTTATTCAATCTTCAAGAAATAGTGAGAAAGTCTTTGACTTTTAGCGATTGATCATTCGTATAGTACACCGACTAGTTCCATTCTCATGACTATGCATCGGAGTCATGTAGGCCGAAATTGGGGGAATAGTGACCTATGATTTTGTCTGTGAGAAAAACATGTTTGATGGGTACTGTGTTTTACATTTCTGTACAAGTACAGGAATTGAATGGTCGGCTTCTGACAGTAAACAAGGCAGCTCCGAGAGGATCACGTCCTGAGCGTGCACCTCAGGTGTATGAACCTGCATTCAGGGTCTATGTCGGGAATCTCCCCTGGGACGTGGACAATGCCCGTCTAGAACAAGTTTTCAGTGAGCACGGTAAAGTTGTGGAAGCTCGCGTGGTTTATGACCGTGAGACAGGACGCTCCCGTGGTTTCGGGTTTGTTACAATGTCCAACGAGACCGAACTCAACGACGCCATCGCTGCCCTTGACGGACAGGTAATGATGTCTTTACCCAATATTCTAGCACCCTTCTGTCTTTGTTTCTGGCCGTCATGTCGTGATGGTTTCTTCGCAGAATATGGACGGGAGAGCGATCAGAGTGAACGTGGCGGAGGAACGAAGCAGGCGTGGGTTTTGATGAAAAGCTTTAAAGATCAATGTGTGTCTGAATCTCTTTTTATTTTCCCTTAGATGAGATTTACAGTCTTTTGACAATTTTTTTATTTTGGTCTGAAAACTGAAAATCCGACTGCACGTCATTCTCTTGCTCCCAAAATGTTGAGGCTTTTCAAGTGATTTGTACACCTTGATGTATCTGTGTTCTCTTGTTTATGCTTTCTCCAAGCCCACTGGAGATATATTCTAGTATATGCATGGTTCGGTTTTTATATTGGTTGTCTGAATTTTGGAGATTTGGCGAGTCTGCGCAATATTTGGGCATCCACAAATATCAAATTTTAATTGTATAAATTTTAAAAAAAATAGTATTATTGTAAATATGTTAAATTGTGAGTGAATATTTTATAGGGTAAAATCTCTAGAAAAACTCGAATTTACTAAAATATATATAAATAAATCTTCAATTTGCAAAATTGTCATTCAATATTTAGACTTACAATTTGTATAAAATTTCGAATATGCAAATTGTTGATCTAATGAACCGATTTGATCAAATTTTCAGGCGATCGAAAATCCACGTTTGCTCGGAATACTGATGTTAGCGCATCCAAGTCAGCAATTTTAAATAAATATTTGACACAACAATAATTTTTTGTTGGAAATTAAAATCGATTTGAGATAAAATAAACCCGGTTTTCCCTTTTAATAAACCGAATCGAAAAACTCTAAGAATCGAAAAGAGAAAATCAAAACCCTAATTTCATCCCTTTTATTTTCCCTTTTGCAAAACCTAATTAGAACTCTAGAATGAAAATCAAAAGAACACTCTAATTAGAAACCCAGAACCAGAAACATGAATAAGCAGAGACTTATCAAATCATTGTTCTGAGTATATATACATGTGTGTCTGCGTATGAGACATTTAAGAATTTTATGGTGGGAACGTGTTAAAAGAGAAGCGTCTTGTTATTTCTCTCGTCGATGCATCTCCAGGAACCGAGCGAGTTCTTCGTCTCTATCTTGTCTCACCATTTTTGAAACATCAAACCGAAGATTCTGTGTCGGATGAGTGAACTTGCACCGCACCATGGCAAAATCTCCAAAAAAAAAAGAGAGAAAACGGAAAGAAAATCGCTGTAGCAAGCAAACTGAAAGACCAATCAGATCTCGTTAAGGTCAAATCAGACGGTTCTTCTGCGGCTCGTGCAGTAACCAAGGAATCCCAGAATTCACGAGAAACAGTCGACGAACAACGAATATGGAGAGAGAGACACATAGAGAACAAATGCTTCTGGATATTTGTTCTGGGTATTTGATAAAATATGAAGTTTTGAAAGATTGAGAAACAGTGGGAAAGATGTTCTTCACGATGTGGGTTTTTTTATAAATTTTATATTGTTTGATTTCGGATTTTAAACCAACAAACCCCATAATCAATTTTATTGTTTGACAGTCTTATGGTCTATACTTAGAAGAATGATTTCCCTCTTTCGACTTTTGGTTCTTGGATTCGGTTTAATAAATGAAAATTCGGTTTTAGAGTTTTCAAACCAATTCAAATGTCGTATCAAAAAAGGCTAATGTGGCGAAAATTTATTTAAAATGGCTGACTGGATGAACTGACATCAGAATTTTCGAACAAACGTGGATTTTCGATCGCCTCAGAATTTGGTCAAATCGGTCAACGATTTATTAAAGCAATAATTTACATGTTCGAATTTTTATTAAGTTATAAGTTGCAAGTCTGACTATTGAATGACAGTTTAACAAATTTGATGTTTATTTATATATATTTTAGCAAGTTCGAGGTTTTTAGGAATTTTATCCTATTTTATAATTTTCGAATAGGAATGTATTACATGTCACACGATATCCGATTTTGGATATTATAATCCATAGGTGGGAGAACACTAAGATTTTTAAAAACGTTTAAGTAATATTTTCACGCCAATTAACATCAAAATTACATCTATTAATTTGCAGTGTAAATTGTAATATTATTTATTTTGAAAACAGAAATTTTTTGGCGTTTGTAATTATTTTATTTTAATGTTTTAAAAATGTGATGAAATGCCATTATTATATATATATATATATATATATATATTAGTTATCATATATCGAGAGAAAATCATATGAATACTCTGTCCTCAACTTGAAACTCGAATTTGAGACAAGATATACACTTTACTTTTCTATTTCATCGGTTGAACTAAACAAATTTGATATATTTTTGTTATATATCCCGCAACTTTATAATTGTATTTTTCAAAGAAACATCTTCGATTGATTACCACAAATACAACTTTTAAACAATCTATGCAAGGGTCTAATCCAAACATCCAAAGACGAACAAAAATACATCTCATTAATAGGCTCTCGATTTAACTTTGATCGTTATGGGTTGGTACCAAAATCGAGCAAGAAAGAGACGGGTCTAATTCAAAAGCAGGTACAATAACAATGAAAATAACCTTTTTTTTTAAGGAAAATCACCAAAAAAACCTTGTACTCTTTCCAGGTCAACGAAAAAATCATGTACTTTTTTGCTTATCAATTAAACCCTGTACTTAGTGTGATCAACCGATAAAACCCCGAACTTTTTAAAAATTCACCGAAAACGTCACCGTCTGCCAACTCAAACAAAAATGATGATGTGGCAATGATATGATTTTCAAATCATGCACACATCATCATAATTATGTCACATCATCATTTCAAACAAAATTTAAATTAAATAAATAAATTAAATTAATATATATATAAATTCACATATATATATATATATATACATATTAAAAATAAAATTATTCGTAATTAATAAAACATATATACACATAACTATAACATATATGTATATTATAGCTAATACATACATATTAAAATAAAAGTAATTATAATTAATTTTATACATATTAAAATAAAATTATAACTAACATATATACATATAATATACATTAAAAATAATATGTATATGTATATATATATTAGTTATATATACAACATATATATATACAACTAATATACATATTAAAATAAAAATAATTATAACTAATATATACATATAATATATCTATTAAAAATAATATATATATATGTATATATTAGTTATATATACAACATATACATATACAACTAATATGCATATTAAAATAAAATAATTATAACTAATATGTATATAATATATATTAAAAAATAATATGTATATATATTAGTTATAATATAATTTATAATATAAATATATGTTATAGTTATGTGTATATGTGTTTTATTAATTAAAAATAATTTTATTTTTAATATGTATATATATATATATGTGAATTTATATATATATATATTAATTTAAATAAATTATTTAATTTAATTTTTTTTAAATAATGATGTATCATAATTATAATGATGTTTGAATTGGTAGATGTTTCTGTAAATTTTTAAAAAATTCGAGATTAATTATACTAAATACAAAATTTAATTGGTATGAAAAAAATTATATGGGTGAGTAGCAGTGGGCGGGCGGGCCTCAACTACACAAAACCCACCACTTAATCCACAGTGTCTCCGTCCTAATTTGGAACCTGGAGATGCCGGTTATCCGATTCGCTCCGTGATTTTGTTTTAGGCACAACGAAAAGCTGGAAAAGAAAACAAGTCCACAAAACCCTAACCCCCCACGCAAACCACTCTCTTCGTCACCTGCTTCAGCTAATCGGGATCGCTCCTGAATGTGCAATCACCGTATGGCTCTTGAATATCAGGCCAAGCAGTCCGAACAGCAACCGCGGGCTGACGATGGCAGCCATAAGCTGAGGAGACACCCCAACGTAGAGCTTGAGCCGGACAACTATGACGATCTGCATTTGGAGTTCAGTCCGATGTTGTTCAGTTCTCTCGAGCGCTACTTGCCGGATTCATTTCTCGGTTGCTCTCGCCTTCAGAAAGCTTGTTTCATGAGGGATCTTCTTCTCAGATACTCCTCCGACTCCGACCGAATCCGAGTATCTCTCCTCTTCCTTTCCTTTCTTATGCTCCCTTAATTGATTTTATCTGACCTGTTTTTCTTCTTCTCCGGATTCAGCTTCAGAGACATAGAGAATACAGGCAGAACATCCTTGCTTCTTACCAGGTACCGCGTCCCATCACATCTCAGTTGCCCTTTAACGATTCAACTATTGTTGAACTCCGTTGGCTTCCTCATTCATTGTAGCGCTATATATATATATATATATATATGTATATATATTAGTTATATATACAACATATACATATACAACTAATATGCATATTAAAATAAAATAATTATAACTAATATGTATATAATATATATTAAAAAATAATATGTATATATATTAGTTATAATATAATTTATAATATAAATATATGTTATAGTTATGTGTATATGTGTTTTATTAATTAAAAATAATTTTATTTTTAATATGTATATATATATATATGTGAATTTATATATATATATATTAATTTAAATAAATTATTTAATTTAATTTTTTTTTAAAATGATGATGTGGCATAATTATGATGATGTGTGCATGACTTGGAAGCCATGTCATTGCCATATCATCATTTTTGTTTGAGTTGGAAGGCGTAGGGGGGTTTTCAGTGAATTTTTAAAAAGTTCGGGGTTTTATCGGTTGATCACACCAAGTACAGAGTTTAATTGGTAAAAAAAATGTACAGGATTTTTTTGTTGACTTGGAAAGAGTATAGGTTTTTTTTGGATGATATTCATTTTTTTTATTGAGATTATATGAACAAATGTATAAATAATAAATGTTGGAATAAGTTTTTTAATTTTAGATTAAATTTATAAATAATAAAATTGAATACAAAAGCCCCTATAGCTCAGTGGTAGAGCGTCAGTCTTGTAAACTGAAGGTCCGTAGTTCGATCCTGCGTGGGGGCAGTCTTTATGCTCTCTTTTTTTTTTTCCGTTTCCACTTTCCAGAACGATGGACTCCCAATTTCATCTTTTCTGCGCATACATACTCTTTGTATCCAACAAAATTTAAATTCTTATAATATATTATATATATAAACCAACAAATATTGGACCGTCAAAACCTAATAACTAAACAAGCAAAGGCTGAAAACCCAATGGGCCCAAATTATTCAAACTACTCTGAAACCCAATCTCTTCGGCTTCGTTGTGTAAAACCCTCGTCTTTGATTTCCCTGGAGCTTCTTCAGCTTTCTCCTTCAACCTCCGAAGAAAAAATGTCCAATCTGATGCAGAAATTCCTCAAGAACCCTTCGACTCTAAGGTTAATCTCATCCTTAGGCAACCCAAATATCCCAAAGCCCTATCTCTCTTTGGTTCCTCGATCGACCGGGAACCCCATTGGACAGAACCCAGATCCTTTTGCCGATCCGGCGATCTTCCGGAACGCAAAATCCGACGAGACCCTGAATTTCTTCCCCAGTTTTCCGTTTTGCTTCTCTCTGGATCCGATTTCATTACCCGGGTCGGGTGTTATTGACTCCGAGGAGACGGAGACGGAGACGGAGTCGGAGGATTCGGGTACTGTTTATGCTGATAGCGTGAAGAAGAAGAGGAAGAAGAAGATGAACAAGCATAAGTACAAGAAGCTCAGGAAGCGTCTTCGGAGAAAGACCTAAGGGGGTTTCTGGCAAAATTGGTGAGAGGAGAAAAGAATCTAAGATGCCTTTTTTTTGGGTGGAAATCGCAAAAATTAATAGTTTCTTGGTTACACTGATCCCCTCTAAGTTGGCAATGCCATGGACATAGCTTGTGTTACAGATTCTTCTTAGTTTCAGTGGTTGTTAGTTCAATGAAGGGAGATTGCCATTCCTCTTAGAAAGTTGGAAACTTTGTGCAAGAACTGTTTCGTGTTTGGAGATTTCATGTTCTAATAATGTGATTTTAGGGTTCTGCATTGTGGGTTAGGGACATTGTGAAATTCCTTCATCCAACAAACTTGGCTTCATGTCAGATCTAGACAGAACACAGAAGTGCCACTCTCTTGTTTTGATTTGCATTGATACTTTGATAATGTTGGGCTTTGATGGGGATAGAGGACTTGACTGTCTTCATGTAATGCCATTGGCATGCTCATGAAGAAGGATTGACAACCATAGATTTATACAATACATGGTATCATGGATTGACTCATACTGGTTTTGATTTGTTGCTTGGTTGGACTGTATAGAGAATCTTTGGCTTGAACAGGAAGATCTCATGTAATTCAGACATCTTGGAACCTGAATCATGAGATTGATTCAAGACTTTTGCATGAATGATGGAAGATTGATTCTATCATCCCCACTTCACCTCTTTTGCTTCCAACACTTTATTTGGAATGAACTCTTTGGGGGTTTAGCCACTTTTTTTCCCCATAAGCTCTCTGGTCTCACAATCCTCACATCTCTGCGTTGTATTCTTTTTTCACTTGTTTCAATGTTCACTTTCCATGTGATAGAAAAAGGATCACTTTCACGCCAGAGTAAGGAGATGAATACCCAAAATGCAATTTCTTGTTTTTGTTTACGCGTTGAGTTATTAAATGCAAGTATAATTTGATAAAACTGATGAGATCACGCACATTAAAATGCTCTATTTATTATTTATTTTTTTTATTTGGACTATTTAATTATTTGTTTTGTGTTTTATACCGAAACTCAAACATCTAAAATAGAAATGTCTCTTCCGAATAATTTATCCCTTATCTTAAATTATTCCTCATATCATCTTCTAAATTTTTGGTGAATAATTAGATGGATTAATTTATCATTGGCTATCACGATTTCTAATTGATTAACCTGAATTCCTATGCAGATTTAATTTTATGATTCATTCGTACAAAGAGTTGGTTTGATAAGTATGTTTAAAATCAATCAATAAGACCGAATGAATGAAACATATGAGATCAATATGTAAATGAAAATGTACCCAAACATAGGTTATATCCCTAACCTACAGTACGAAACTAATTGCGATCCGTAGAACAAAAAAAAAGTTTACAACCGATTCAGAAAACATATCGAGAAACAGAGATGTAAATGCTTATTCGGGTGTCAATCGATGAAGCAATTCTTGTCTCTAAGCCTCCAAATGCGTGGACTTTGTGTGTGACGAAAATGGACAGAAAATGAAAATTCGGGCCCTCCAACGTACCGTCGGATGAGACAAACCCTTTCATTCTGCGTGTCTTCGATCTCAAAATGACGTATTTCAAATCACGCATCGGTCGATGCCAGTCACATCGACCAAGGCATCGAGCGATGCATGGGAATCTCGAGCGATGTAAGGGTCGAGGGAGAAGACGAATACCACGTAATTGTCATGCAAATGCAGTGACGAATATCACGTAAGATCTTGGGTACGTGAACTGTGAGGTAAGCCTGAAATTATAGATAAATAAATAAACTACATAAAAACACATTGTGCATTATCCATAAAAATAAAACGAGAATAAAAAAAATGAACAATCTGTTTCAAAATCTAAAATCTATTACCAAAAAAAAAATGATCAAGTCCTAACACAACAAAAAGACATAATCAATCACCACCTTGTAAAATTTTTAGACCGAATGATATATAGCGGTAAGGATTCCTGAAGCTGTAAAAAGAAATTGCCAAGTGAGATGAGAAGGCAGACTTAACAATCATCATTGATAATGTTAGTGCAATTATTTGCACATGTGTTTTTTGGTTGTTAATTAGAACTTACGCAAATCTGAGGTACAACTGACGAGTTTCAGATAAACTCAAAGACTAAGAGATTGAGATGGACTCAATGTCAACCACTTGGAGAGATTTTAGGAAAAGCAATCTGAAGAGATAGAGCCACGAAGTTAAGCCACGAAGTTTGGATTTGACTTGAAGAGATGAAGTTAGAATCAAAGCTAAAAAGATTTGAGGAGATTTGAGATAGAGACAAGATCTTGGAGATAAAGTCAAAGACGTGAAAAGATAGAGATAAAGATGAGATCTTGAAGATAGAGATGAAATCGAAGAAGATCAAGGAGAAGTCTATCAAATCAATTCGTGGAGATCTAAGGCGAACTGAAGGAGCCTATATAAACGAGACACAAGCTGCATATCAGTTCTCACGGAGAGCAAAGCAAATTTTACTAAAGAGAGTTTCTGTTAGTGAGTGAGCACTCGCTTTTGAGTGAGTGTGTGTATAAGAAAAATACCGATTGGGCAAATCTCTTTTCTCTGGTGAGTGTTTGGACGTGGATCTGAAGGGGAGACCTAATGGAAAAATCTATGTTCCTTTGGTGAGCGTTTACATTTGGTGAGGTTTTTTTATCGGTAGAATTCATTGTGAGAATGGGTGTTGAGTAGCTCTAACAAAAAGTGAGTTGTACTTGACTTTTTCTCAAGTGAATAGAACTGGTTAGTTTTTCCCTTTATTCTTTGAGGGTCCGGTTTTTTCAATTGGTATCAGAGCTAGTCACCGATCGTAGGAACTTGTCCTCTCATATCGGTGCAAGTGTGGAAGACACAAGATGGACTCGATCAAAGGGTTTCATGCTCTTGAGATGTACACAATTCTTGATTCGAAGAATTATAGCTTTTGGAAAGTAAAGACAATGAATCTCATCAAAGGGATTGATGAAGATGCTTGGAGTTCGGTGGAAGAAGGATGGAGTGCTCCAACTCACGTGGTTGATGGGAAGGAAATTCTGAAGCCTAGATCTAAATGGACAACCAAAGAGAAGAGAGCATCGGCATTGAATTTTAAGGCGATAAACATCATCTTCAACACCGTTGATAAGGACGAATTCAAGCAGATCCAAGGGTGTAAGTCAGCAAAAGAAGCTTGGGATGCACTTGAACTAATTCATGAAGGTACCTCAAGTGTTAAGCGCACAAGGAGAGATTTGATCAAGCATCAATTCAACATGCTTCAGATGGGTGAAAACGAAAGTGTCAAGGAATTTTGCGGGAGGCTGAATGCATTAGCAAACGAGGCTGAGGTTCTTGGAAAGACCTACCGAGACAAACAATTGGTGGCCAAACTTCTTGTAAGTTTACCTAAAAAGTTTATGTCTCATAAATCTGCATTCACCATGGTAAATAATGTAGACACTGTTAGTTTCAAAGAAACAGTTTGTGCATTTGCTGCTCTTGAATTAGAATTAGAGCTGTATGAGAAGCCAAAGAGAGCAACAATGTCGAACAAAAATATGGCTTTCCATGTCCCAGAGATATCTGACACTCAAGGTCAAGTATCACTGGACGAGGACATGACGATGATTGTCAAAAAGCTCAACAGATTTTTCAAGAAAAAGCCAGTGACTGCTGGAAAATCTGAGCTGAGAAACACTGGAAAGTGTCTCGAATGCAGGGGAGTTGGTCATTGGAAAGATGAGTGTCCTAACATTGCTAAGAGAGAAGCAATGTTGAGGAATCTAAAAGATCTTCAATGTTATGAGTGCAAAGGGTATGGTCATATGAAGAACGAGTGTGCTGGTGGGAAGTCAAAAGGAAAATCTTCACTCACTCACGAAGAGTTGGAAACTGAATATGATGAAGATGAAGAAGAAGAACACTCAAATTTTGTTGCACTCTTTGGTGACACAAAAGAACATGAGGAACAAGAAGAGAAGGGTAGTGAAGAAGATCTATACAAAGAGATGACAAAGCTTTACGATATCAACATGAAGCTGATCAAGGAACGGAAACAGAGTGAATCAACAATCACTGACCTGAAGAAACAGTTCATCAAAGAACAAAAGGAGAAGGAGTCAACGACCACTTATCTAAAGAAGTAGTTGAAAGAAAAAGGAGAAACGATCACGTTACTACAAAGTTAGCTCGATGAGACTATGAAGAAAGTAAGGATGCTCGGAAGTGGTACAGAAAAGCTTGAGCATCTTCTGACGATTGGACAAACTGACTCTGGACATGCTGGTCTCGGATATACTGGAGGGAGTGCTAACAAAGTAGGAAACTTTGTATTAGGAGGAAAGCTTGGAGATGAAGTTATTTCACGAGTAAGGAAAACTCCGAAAATCATGATTGATCTTCATCCCAAACAACAGTACCGTGAGCAAAGAGTTGCTTTCATTGTGGCAAAAGAGGGCATATCAGAGTGAACTGCTACTGGAGGAGAAATCAGGTAGCACTCGCACCAAGATGGAGACAAGTCTGGAGGAAGAAAGATAACAGATGCAATGTTGCTTGCATTTCAGAGCTGAAGTCAAGAGAAAGTCAGTGGTATTTCGACAGTGGATGGTCGAAACACATGACTGGTAACATGAACCGACTTTCAACTTTTGAAGAAAGTATCAAAGGAGGGAATGTGACATTTGGAGATGGAAGAAAAGGAAAGATCTTGGGAAAAGGAAACATGAATGCATCTAGGTTGCCTACCCTCACTGATGTGAATGTGGTTGAAGGACTCAAGACGAATCTCATTAGCATAAGTCAACTTTGTGACTCTGGACTTCAGGTACACTTTACTAAAGATGTATGTTTAGTCACTAACTCGTTGAATGAGTGTGTGTTGACAGGAAAGCGAACACCAAGTAACTGTTATACTTGGGTAAATCTTCAAGATGACCAATCAAGGATAGAGCTATTGCATCAAAGTGCAGAGAAAGCATACGAGATATCTGATATGCTTCGAGAACCAGTTAGTGATCAC